ACTTTAGGAAGCATGTTTTACTGTATAATGATCCAATTTTCCCTTTAAAATATTACAAATGGCACTTTAAAAAAAAAAAGAGAGCAAAATTATTTAACTAATATGCCAGAGATGTAGACACATGCACTTTGAGGCATAGATGCATGCACACACAGAGCAGGTGTAAAGGACATTCTCTGGTTACACCTGAATATTTAACTATCTGAACTAACACATTCTCACACAGCAACACGCAGGTGATAGTGTTGCATTCACACCTCTCATCACTTCATATTGCAGGGCATCAAGTCATGTTTAAAGCTATAATATTTGCTTAAGATCAAATGATTCAGACGTATAAAGACTATTAAATGAAGTTCATATCTATGTTTTTTTAATGCATTGTACCACCGACGTTACAGAGTTAGAAGCTGGTGCTGTCTCCCTCTTGTTGGCAATTGGCTGAAACAGTGCATGTTCCATCTGCAGTTCACTGCAGTGATGACTGATAACACGTGTCTCAGTGTGTGTGGTAACAGTGATGAGTGGGGAGTCTGTGGTTGGTGGTCCAGACTGTAGGTTTGATGATAAGCCAACTGATGATCGGTGCAGTCCGGTTACAGCTCCAAGTTAATTCCCTCCGCCTCTGCTTTGTGTTTCAGCCAATCCAGTGATGCACAGCAGTGTTTAAACAGCACTGACAGGGTGGCAGGCCTGTTTCTTGTATCAGAAAAAAATACGAGTGATTTAGTTTTTTGATATACTTTGTACTGTCTATTTTGATATAGCAGAACTTTGGCACCAAAACTCCAGCCCTCTCTTCCTCCCTTTGTGTTTTCACTTGTGAAGCAAGAACTTCTCATTAAAAGACTCATGAAAGCTACTTTCATGAGTCTTCAGTGGCGAGTAAAAAAAAAGAAATCTTGGAGCTTCTTTTGATCTAAAACAACAGGGTGAGACAGCATCAGTATTGTGTTGTCATAATACATCCTGAATTGGTAGCTGTATTATTTTCATCTATGATGACTCGCCTTTCTCTTTCTGTGGTTGTCTTTGCAATTGTCTTGTCACGTAGCCTGAGTCATTCTGACAGATTCCAGAGCGGTGGCACAAAGAGCTTCTTTTAGTTTGACAGATTTCTCATGAAGACCCCAGACATGCTTCATCGAACCATGATTACATTCAGGTTATCATCTGTATCTTTTCTCATGCCAGCTAGCCCAATACTGACTAACAAGACTCTGCCCACAATTGCTTCCTCTTGTAAACAACAATAAACAAGATGAGGAGGGAATATGTGCTTCCAATTTCTTATAAAGTAAATCTTTAAGGAAAGTGGAAGGTTGGAGGCTGAGATGCAAGATGTTTTTTGGTTTATTTACAGAAAAAAGCAATTTCAAAAAAATCAAAAACTACCAGGGTGAAAATTGTTAGCCCGCCTGATGCTAATAGTCTGTTGCATACCCTTTTTACTGGATAACAGCCTGCAGTTGTTTGCTATGGTTTCAACGAGTCTCACACACATCTCCTGAATAATCCCAGCCCATTCTTCTATTCTCCTCCAGATGTAATGGTCTTCTGACACGGACCTTTGTCTTTAGTTCATCCAACAGATTTTCAGTGGGAGTTAATTCAAGGCTTTGTGCAGGCCAATCAGTAACATTCACTCTGGTCTTCTGAAGGTAATTCTTCACCAGCGTCTTATTGGAAGAGGAAACAATGACCCAGACCCAATTTTGCTGCTGACTGCTCTATTTTACATCCACCATTGTGTATCACAGTGTTTTAATATATTCACTGGTCATTTCATTAGGTATAAAATGATATAATGCTGGTACAGGGTTTGACACTCTTCCTATAAGCTAATCTTTAAGTGACCCACCCTGACTGGTAAGTTCCCAGACATGTAAAATCACCAGGATTTTTCTTAGAAGATAACAAAGTTTTCCAGACCAGAGAACAGTGATCAAGTAGGAAATAAGTGGTGCCTTAGTTTATAGTTAGTTATCACTTCTTAAGTTACAGCTTATTAGTACTGGGTTGGACCTCCTTTTGCCTCCAGAGCTGCTTTAATTCTTCCCAGCATAGACTGCTATAGGATTATAGGCTTATAGGATATTAATTCATAAATCCGTCTTTTAATTTTTCAAAAATATATATGCATATATGTTTTATGCTCTTCAAAACCCCACAATATATTATTTTGCAGTCATGTTTTAAGACATCATTAGGAGGTTGGATGGTCGAAATTTGCTTTGAAAAGTGGAAGCTAACCCAAATGTAAAAATAAAAAGAATTTCTAAATTACAAAAATGGTTTTATTTTTCCAAATTTTCAAGCTCAGAGCCTCGGGGATTTCGCTCGCACTCACCCAGTGACTGGGTCTTTTGCTTTTTGTCAACAGAAGTAGTCTGGAGAAAAACTTCACATTTGGATATGCCAGGTTTCCCATGAGCCAGGATATTTTAATGTTTTTTACAGCAGTGAACAAATGGGTGAACAGTACAGAAAAGAGGTCTCATGTATGAAAACTATGTCAACACTTGTAGCTCTGCCAGCATTTAGCACCTGTTTGGAACACCGCCCCTTTAAGCATTAACACTTGTGTTGTATTACACTCGAGCGGAACATTATCCCTCATTACAAGCTCCTCTAACACCGTGAACAAAAGAACAGAACACTGGCCTGACTGTAATGACACTGCCTGCTAGGTGTCATTTGGCTCTAATGGTTTCCTCTGTTGTCTACGACTATAGCACTTGTTATTTATACTTTCCATAGTGCAGCTAGAACAGGTTGCTGTTGCCATCTTTCAGGGTTACATTTAATTGTGCACATTTTCTTCATATTGTCCATCAGACTATATTTTATTATAGTGTTTGGCAACCCGAATGGTAGCTACTACAAATATTTATACACAAGGCTTTTTGAGTGCAACTTGTTCATGTGTGGCTTGGACACTAAAATAATTCAAAGTAGACATAATGACTGGAAAGTGACTCATTCTGTTTACTCATCAGATCTTAATATTGCATAACTGGCTTAGAAAAATTACTAGTTGCCAGTTTTTTAAATTACTTCACGATTTGACCTGTCGTCCTCATTTTGGGCTCCATAGTCTTATTTTTGTACTCTGTTACAGTAGCTTTGATTAATTCACATTTAAGTAATCCTTACTTCTTCTATACTGGGCCTCGGTGCAGACTATTAGTTCATCCTGTCTGAAACAAGCTATTTTAGCTCGTCTTGCTTAAAGGGCACCTCTACTTTAACCCAACTTCTGATTGGATGCCTCTTGCAAACAGAATGTTTGAACAGTAGACAGGTGCAGTTCACAGCGAGACCTATAACCATTATAAAGGACATCTCTTTGACATCTTGTCTCCAAAGCAAAACAGTGGAGCTACACATGTCTGCCTCTAAAATTCTAATCAAAGCAGCTCTGAGCATTTCTGCTGTGGGGCATGATTTTTCACACAGAATCACATAATGGTATTTATGGATGAATACGACACTTAAAAAATGAAAAAACTGAATCTGTAAGCTGGCGTATGCCCTGTAGCTTTTGAACGAGGTTGCACTGACCCAAAGTTCAGGAGAGGAAGGGCTGTGAAATGTGAGATAAGAGGAGTGGATCAGATAGCAGCCACACACATTAGTTAAACATCTCCCTTCTCATGTTCTCCAATCCCCACATCCTCGTCCTCATTACTGTCTTCTCTGGATATTTCCCAAATTTTTAATAGTCTTTCCTTTCTTTTCCAACATACACTTCAGCTCTAAGCTCGCTGCTTATTCTTCCATGCTATTTTGCTCGTGTTGTAAGATCTTTTGACACCCCCCGCCACTTTGATCCATCTTCTTTTCATCACTCCCTGTCAGTCCCACCTTCCTTTTATCCCTGTACTATAGGTATTGTACTATCTTGTCTCTCTTGTGTTTATTGTTTCTTCTCGTCATTTGATAACATCAGATTCTGTTCATCTTTTATTATTTCTTTAAGAACCAAGGCCCAATGCTCAATTTCTCCTGTCTTAGGTAAAAAGGGACTAAAACAAGATTTATATGAAAGCATTCTGGGATCAAATTGCAAATCAGAATATTTTTCTAAACTTTCTGAAGGTTGGACAGACTTAAAACAGTATGCTGTTGTCTTCTAAGCTCATTAACAAAGGAATGGGGTCATTTTTCTCCTTTTTTCATTACAGAATACAGTACACTGTAAAAATGCATTTATTAACATTAAAAATAAGACAATTTGAGCACACATACTCTAGAACGTATAGCTGCATGTTTGTTTTTGAGGTGAGCAATATTGGTTTAATTCAGCTGAGAGGAGGAACGAGCTCTAACCATGACAAGAAAATGCTTTCGCGTAGCTTCAATCAGGAAACAGTCAAATGAGCTACTTGTACAAAGGCAGAAAAACCTTTAAAGCTTTCCTTGGGGAGTTTTTGATGAATTGAAAACACAACAGCGTGATGTTTATGAGAACAGGTCTGCATTCTGTTTGTGTCGTGCACACACGCACGGCACAGACAGATGCCGTACAGCTTCCTACATATTTAAGATGCTCTGCTGATCAGTGGGAGTAACAGAAGTAAAGAAGCAGGAGTAGAAAGGACGAAGACAAATAAGCCTAGAAGCTAGTGAACATGGATGTAAACAATGTTAGACTCGAAATGTGTGCTGGCTCATTTGCGAGACCTCAAAGACACCCACACTGTGTTGTGGTGAGAAACCCTGGATGCACTCCTAACATTGTCAAGACAACTCAACGGGGTACCTTTAAGATTAGATACTGATGCGTAAAAGATGGTACTGCAGTGTACTGCTTTTATATCAAAATAAATCATATTTGATTTAAATCTTTGGCACACTCCCATAGATCTGATCACAGTAATAAATAACATTTATTCATTAAAAAAACAAATAAATATCAATAACTTAATATATTCAAGATTTCATAAATACATCTCATATGTGTGACGTTTTGTGTAACTTATGTGCTGTACAGTAGACAGAGTGAGTTGGCTGAATGTGTGACTGTGACTGAGTATAGATGGGAATATCAAATCCCACATAGTCAAGCTGTAGGCTGTAAAGGAAGTCATAGAAGCTGTAACCGTGCCGAGGTAACTCTTAAAAGTAATTTCTCTGGGGTGAAAACTTGTGTAATGCCACTTCCTGTTTATTTACTCCTATACTGCTAAATCCAAGTCATAAATCACCACATGCCAAAAAGCTTCTGTGAGTGAAATCAAAACAAAAGAAAAAAACACTTAACATTATACCACTATAGAGTGGGAGTATAAAAAGTTAAAATTACACAAAGCCTGACAAGTTGCACTCCCTACACGCAGCCACATCTTCTGGCGGAGTGCTTCCTCACGGTGTGGTAAACCAGGCTGTCGTCCAGAAACGAGAGATCGTCGTCGAACGCTATTGGCCGACAGCAAGCCTGAGGGGGAACGTCTTTGGCGGGAAGCCTCCTGTTGTGAATGAGGTTGTAAAGGATTTTGTCGTAGTTTGTCTCTGACTTTCTGCACGGTCCTGAGCAGTACCTGAATATCATTTCCTCACTGGAGCGGTAGCCCAGACCGAGGTCAGACACGTTGAGGTGGATCTGCTTTAGCACGCAGCCCTGTCCTCTACCACCGCCTCTAATCTTCCCACCTGCGCCAGCACCTCTAGATCCCCCTTCTCTTCTGTTACTGTTTCGCTGGCTTGTCCTTTTCCTCTTTCTCCTTCTATGTCGGGTCCTGCTGTCAAAGTTATCTTTGGAGGGGGAAGAGATGGGGACGGCAGCGGCGGTGGTGCTGGTGGTGGAGGTAGATGAGGACACAGTGAGCGAGGAGGAGCGACGCATTCTACTGATGGTTACTTTGATGAAGTTCACCACATCTTCAAACTCATTTGGGAGGGGCTCCTCAGTGGTGTCTGAAACCAATTAAGAGACATGCATAAGGCTGGACAGAACACACTGTTTCACTTCTACACACCCCACTGGCTATTGAACACATGCAGTGCTGTGTCACTAAACTACACATGCACATCTTTAAATGATACAGAGGTCTCTTCTGTGGAGGAAATACTGATGGGGTGGATTTAGGTGTCTTACGAATGAGTCCCATTGTCACCAGACGCTTTTACGTTTAAGTGGGATTAAACAATGAAGACAACACAGCTACTATGTAGCCTCGTGGCACAAGTTACTTGATGGAAAATGAATTCCTAATTATTACCACTTGAAGTTATTCTTCTGAGGGGAAAAAAAGAGGCATTCATCTGCCAATAAACTGAGTATGATGAGACGTGTAACTGCAAAGGTTTTAAGACCATGATCAATCTGAATCAAATATTCGTTCAGCATAAAATAAAAGAAATTTTAAGTATAAGCAACTTAACTGGTGACCACTTACACATGTTTTCTATTTGTTGTTAGGTTTGCCAATTTTTCATTTTTTTTTCTCTTTCTGGTGGACACATCACCACGTCTTTAAGCAATTCACACAAATCTCATTGCAAATGACTTATCGGGTTTGCGCACTTTCGCTACCCTCACATTTATCTCCTCCAGCCAGCGTTTCGTCCCTGTTTGCGGTATCCGCGCGGCTCATGCTCGTGGAAGAAACAGACAGGCCGATCTGAACGGGCGGGAGCTCGGGGGGACTCTCGGCGACGCGCCCTCTCCTCTTGGTGGACGTGGGCTCCTGCGGGCTCTGGAGCAGCGGGCTGGCGTAAACGGCACTCAGCAGTATCAAACAAGTGGTTAGACTATCCCATAACTTCATTGTCCACTTCAGTCCGACAGTAGGACATGGCGCGATGCAAAATCAACAGGTATCATCTGGCAAAAGCGCTCCACGGACGTGTAATAGTTAGACTCATCAGAGCTACTGCCAGTCCAAATGGTGGTAATCGACCGTGCGCACTGCAAACTGCACGCAATCACTCACATGCCAGCTGGACAGCGAAACGCAATGTGGCGCAACATTCAGGGCACAGACGCGCAAACGCAAATCAGCGGCTCCTCTCTGAAGTTGACTCCAAAACGGGTCCAACAACACTTTAACGATGAAAACCTTTTTTTTCAGTCCTTCACTGTTTTCATTCAACACAGTTCCTGCTGCTGACTTCGGGCCATCTCTCTCACCATCAATCCTGACTGAGCTGCGAGGAAAAGCGAGAGAGCTGGGGAGTGCTGGTGACGTGCGACGGTCCATCCTCTGCTTCTTCCTGTCTCCACCCCATGCATGGGAACTATGCAGAAGGATGGAGGCCACAGACAAGACAGAAGCTGAAGTGTGGAGTTGGTGAGAGTTAAAGAGTTATATCACCAAGGAAATCCAGAAATGTGCCTCAGATGGGAGAGAGAAATTCCATTCTTTCCGAACCAGAATCCCCATCCTGCTTTTCGACTTGGGTTGATATTGGACGGAAAACATTTTTCCAATTAGCCAGTCAAAACAGATCGAATAGATTGTGTCGCTCCTGATGAAGACCATGTGCTTGAAATCCCACAGTTCTCCACTTAATGTACTTCAGTGCTATTTAACTTCTAGAAGTTGATGTGACAACCCTTAGGCTAAGCATAACTGCGCCAGTAATTTCTTGTGTAAACCCTTTTCTCTCCCACATTAAGAGCTAAAATATGTCATTTTTAATCACGTTATGTCCGAGGAAAACTGTAGATTTCTCTTCCCATTTGTTCCTTTGTTGGTTTGTTTGAGGCAGATATTAAGAACTAATGGTCCAGTAGTCCAAAAGAACAGTTAAAAAAATTGTCAAACATGTATGATTAGTAATTTTGTTTATAATTAATGCAGACATGTGTGGATAAGCTAAGTGAGTGGAGTAAGTGGGTCAGGTTGCCTCCTCCACACTTCAGTGAAAATGCGGATAAGAGAAAGTCGGTTTTCATATCTGTTAGTTTGTTAGCTTATCCTTTTTAACATTATTATTAAGTGCATAAGGAACAGGGAGTTGATGAAAATCAGAATGATATCCAGTGACTTGATCTGAGAGCTTTATATGTGACGTGAAACACCCAGTGAAGCACTCAGACAGCTGTGATGCTTAAAAGCTCTTTAGTAAGGATAAATGTATAACGTAAACTGCATTTTCTTATATGATTCAAAGTCCAGATTGAAAAATTTTTTTTTTTCAAATTATAATGGGTCAATAAATGCTTTAGTTGGATTCAAACAGCAATCCTTTGGCTCAAGTAACCTTAGAGGGTGTGTGTTTTATTGTCAGGGCTTACATTTTAAAGCAAATCTTCTTTGTTTCTTCACTATCATGCATAAGAACATGATGCTTAGAATATAAATTGCAGCCTTATTGTTCAGTTTCTCAGGTTTTTAAAAAAATAATCATTGCAGATAAATTGTAATCCCCTGGTTTGGTACACACAACGGTTTTCCAAAAGAACATCTTTCCATTTCCTCCATCCCAGGTAGGCCTTATAGTTTACAGCGGCCCATGAACAAGGCTGATGTGAAATACACTTATCCGAAGCAGCATATGCAGATGTGTAAACATGCGTACGGGTCCGTGCACCCTTGAACTGTAGTGTTTCATGATGAATCATGTCTGTGTCAGTGTATGCCTGCGACAGCCACATTGTATTGTAATCACTGGACTACAGTGAACATGCAAAAGCGATTTGAGCATCTGAGTATGCAGTAACTGTAAAGTCATGCACAATAACAGTCTTCTTCCACTCGTGTTTTTAGAAGTTAGCCTACTAATTACTCAGAAGAGGCTTCCCTTTCCACTGACTTGCTCACTTAAATACCCTGTCCTCAAGCAATTACGCTCGTGCCAAGCAACAAATACATCAAACAGATGTTCATTTCCCTTCTTGAAAGGCATGGGGGCTGCTTGGGAGCTGCTCTGTACTCAAATCTGTCAGCCATTTTGAGAGTTTAGTTCGACTCACATGCAATAAGCTAATTGTGCCGTGTTATTCCACCCATCATTGCTGGCCGAGGTGAAACTGAGGCCCCAAAATAGCTCGTGATAGCAAAACTTGTTTTAAGTAAGAAGATATTATATTAATGTACTTAGATTTAAAATTTTAAGAAAAGACTGAGTAATATACTGAATAAAGGCATGTGTTGCTGTCTTAATGACCATTGTTTTCAGCTCAGTTTAGTTGTATAAGTTGAACTAATTCATGTCTCCTATATCAGTTTCTCTTCATAGGTTCCCTGTTGAATCCAGAATTGAATTTAAAATCCTTCTCTTCACATACAAATCAAATAGTATCATATCGCCCTAAGAGAGCCTACAGCTTGCTTGTGGTTCCTTTGATATTTCAAAGTACAATAGGAGGTAGAGCCTTCAGGTTTCAGGCCCCTCTTCCGTGGAACCAGCTCCCAGTTTGGAACTGGGAGATGGACACCTCTCTGCTTTTAAGATTAGACTTAAAACACAGATAAAGCATATAGTTCGGGCCAGATCAGATGACTTTCTAACACAATAGGTCTTTTATTCTGTCTCTCTCCCCTCAATCTGCTGGAGGTTTCTTCCTGTTTCTTCCTGTTTAAAGGCTGTTTTTCTTTCCCACTGCCACCAAGTCCTTGCTCATAGGAGTCATCTGATTGTGGGGGTTTCCTCTTTACCTTACAGTATAAAGCACTCTGAGCTGACAGTTGTGATTTTTTGCTATAGAAATGAAATTGAATTGAAAACAATATTGACTTACATCCCATTTAATGTAATCCATCCATCCATCCATCCATCCATCCATCCA